CAGGCATCGTTGTACAGATGTGCTGGTGGTTGGCATGTCCAGATGGCCAGAGCTTGGCTGGCTTCTCATAGGCCAGGGTTCTCAACCTTCCTCATGCTGCAACCCCTTCATACAGTTCCTTATGTTGTAGTGACCCCTTCGACCATAAAATTATTTTTGTTGCTACTTCATGACTGTCATTTGCTACTGTTATGAATTGGGTGAGCCCTGTGAAAGGGTCATTAGACCCCCAAAGGGGTCGCGACCCACAGGTTGAGAACCGCTGTCATAGGCAGCGCCACCAAGACGGCCACGGCTCAGGTCTTTATTGGGGGTTGGCGGGGGGTGGGGCTTCTGGAAGCACAGAAGGCCTCCACGACAAGGGCATGCCATGCTTTACAAATCGGGTTGTTTTCAGAGGTCATGTTCAGTTGTCAAGAGCATGACGGTCTTTGATTTACTCCTAAGTGACTCTCTCGAACATGCTTTCTGAAGGCCTGCTTGTGGCCAAGGGGCGAGAGGGTGTCTCTTTTGGCTCCATCGTCACTTCATTTTCCTTACCTCTCCTTTCCCTTCCCCACCTCATCCAATGACTGTCAGTGATGTTCCGTGCAAGCAGCACGGGGGTATGGCAACTGCACCATTAGCTGCTAACCGAGAAGTTGGTGGCTCAAACTCACCAAGGGGCGCCACAGAAGAAACAAATCAAACAAACAAACGAAAATGTGGGAGATCCAGAAACCAAACCAACTGCTGTCAAGTTGATTCCAACTTGCTCTGAGTTCACAGTTTATGGCCAAGGAAACCTTACACAGCAGTTCTAGTCTGGTCCACCAGGTCGCCATGAGGGGGGCCACTATGACAGCCGCCAACAGCATGTTCTACTCACTGTGTGAAAGGAAGACATAGAGGGGCTCCCATGGGCATTAACGGGTCTCTGGAATCAGAAAACACTTAGGAAACATAAAATCTAATATTCATTTATTATATATGGTGTTGGTATTTTACTCTTTTATGACTCAACAACAACAAACTCACTGCAATAGAGTTGATTACATCTCATACCGACACTATAGGAGAAAGTACAACTGTCCCTGTGGGTTTCTGAGGCAGTAACTCTTTAGAAAGCCTCATCTTTCGTCCTTGGAGTGCCTGGTGGTATTGAACTGCTGACTTTGTGGTTAGCAGCTCAAACCCAGAACCCACTGTCATTGAGTTGAGTCCGGCTCATAGAGACCCTATAGGTAGAGTAGAACTGTTCCCGGTCTGAAGTGGTACATTTTTACAGAAGCAGTTGCATCTTTCTCTAGTGGAATGGCTGATGGGTTTGAACCGCTGACCTGGCAGTTAGCAGCCCAACACTTAATCCACAGTACCACTAGGGTTCCTTACACTTATATATAATTTCCATCTTCAGGAGAACCCTATTATTTTGCAATTATTCCCAGTTGCAGATGAGAAATGCTGATTCAGAGAAGTTAGGTAGACTTCCTGAAGTTTACATACCTAGGAAGTTGCGAAACCAGAATTAAAACCAAGGTCTATCTGGTTCCAGAGTAATTTTTTACCCACATGATTCTATTTTCTGTTAGTAAGTTTAGAAGTACAGGGAATTGAAAGGAACAACCACCACCAATTTTTTAAAAAAAAATCAAAAACTAATATAAGGCCCAAGAGAATTGCTAACAAATTAGATCTCACTCCTTGGCTATGTTTAATGTCAATTTTGATATCTTGGCTAAGGGTGCCTATTATAAAGCTAGTTGCTCAGGGTTATCCTCCTCCTACCCCGCCCTATCATCAGATGGTTTTTATTTATAGCTATGTTTAAACATCAGAGGCAACACTCAGACTCGCTGTACACGGAGTTTACCATCTGAGCAAAGATTCTTTCTCAACCCGATTTGCTTTATTCACGGTCTAGTTTTTGCCAAGAACGTGAAAGAACAATTCTCTTTGGTCCCCAGTATTTCTCAGCTCTACAATTGAGTCAGCCAACTCAAATTCATTAAGGCCCGATTAAGTAAACTGAATTGTTCAATCCATGGGCTATTTTGAGTGCTACCGAGTAAGAAACTATGACAGATGTCTTCTAAAGGACAAGATATTCCCTTTCTTCTAAAGGAAAAGCTATTTGGATTCATTTAGTTCTGTATTGTTTATAATCATGTATGCTTTACTTCACTGCCTGAATGCTAATGAGAGCTTCCTAGAATTCATTCCTTAAGAAGTTAAGTCATGGCATCTAATTATTTGGCAGGATGTTTTAAGTACATATAATTATATCTTCCCTCCATTTTGTGGTGGTGGTGAGCCAAGTCATCTGCATAAATAACACTTACATTAATGCTACCAACAAGGAGCTCAAAATGCTTTGGAAAAACCACTCATTATATCTTAGCACCCAGTGAGCACCCAATCTTTCAAACTAGCACCACCCCTACCTCTCTAGGTAAGAAAACCCATGCAAAGGAGAAATTGGATTGATTCTGTTCCATATTTCAGTACATTGAGAGCCTGTTGTGTAATGGGCCAAGACCTTGTACTTCATTGGTAGAATGAAGTTTTAAATCCTGACACTACCTTGGGCACATCCCTTCATTTTTCTGAGTACCCAACTGCTTCTTGCCTTATCAGACAGGGCCAGTTCTCCCCCAGGTACAAGGCAGGGGTAAAGAATACGCTGAGACAGCATCGGGCATGGCTTTATAATCATCCCACATAATCTTAACACACTCTATTATTTGGGGATGCTATCTGCAAAACCGGGTCAGAGTTAACACTGAAAGAGTTCTTCCCCAGTCTCAAAAATGCAGGGTCTGAGAAGCCTTCTGGGGAGCAGATCTGAGGGGCTTTCTTCCAGGCACGCTGGAGGGAGGTAGAAGGGGGAGGGAATTGCAATCTCAGCCTGGGAAGACCAAGCGAGTTGGCCTGGC